GGTGGCCCCTCGGCTATGGAACGCCCTCCCCATAGAGGTAAGATCAGCCCCCTCGCTGGTGGCGTTTCGAAAAAGACTGAAGACATGGATGTTCGAACAAGCATTCGGTTAACACGGTGCAACGAATCTGACGATCAAGGACTGGTAATCACAGACGATGAAATTGGACTGTGTTTTTAACTAAGAGATGCATTGGTTCGATATTGGTGGCCCAATATTGTATATTATGTATGTGTTTTTATGCTTTTTTTATGCTTTTTATCTTGAATATTGTTGATTATTGTAATGTTGTAAACCGCGTTGAGTCGCCAATGTAGGCTGAGAAACGGCGGTATACAAGCGCAGTAATAAATAAATAAATAAATTATTAGCACAGCACAATATTAGTATTATGTATTCCAATACTGTACTATACCACTATACTGTAATATTATGAGTAATTTAATAATTGTCTTCCTTCAAAACATGCCCCGCAGCCCTTGTTTTGGCCCAATACAAAGGCCATCAAAAGAGAATAACGAAGGGATGAGCTAAAGCAACCTAGTCATTCAGAGGATGGGCTTAGGTCTAATCCAGCCTACGGAGTTCCCCCCGCTCTCCTGCTCCTGGAAACAGCTTCACTCTGACAAAGAAGAAGAAGAATGATGCCCTTTATGAAGCCCATTTAATTGGGAGGCGACAGAAAACATACAGCTGCATTTCCCTCTGCCGAGCCTTATCACCAAATAAGACTTCAGTTCCAATCTCTCTGCCAAATCCTGCGCAACGGAAGAAAATTAACCAGGTCAGCGGAACAGGTACTCGGCGGCGTCTGTCAAGAGGGTTCGGCATCTTCTCAATTACTCGGACACAATGAAGTGGTAATCTTTACAGATCATCTCTCCCAAGAAGCATATTGTGGACAAGGGCTGAGGATGGAGGGGAAGAAGAGGCGAAAGGAGGCCGGGAGGAAGGAGGGAAGGTGGCAGAGGAGAACGGAGGAGGAAAGGGGCAAGACAGAACAGGCCTCTCGGCTGAGCAGATATTTATTTATTTATTTACGACATTTATATGTCACCCTTCTCACCCCGAAGGGGACTCAGAGCGGCTTACAATATATATATATATGCATATAATACATTAAATTATGAGCATAGTACAATATCAGTGTTATATATTACTATATTGTACTATATGAGTGGTTCTCAACCTGGGGGTTACGACCCCAGGGGGGTCGCCTGACTATTCGGAGGGGTTGCGAGGCCGCCTCTGTTGGCCCCTCCCCAAGGGCGTGGGCCAAGCGAGGGCTCGTTCGCGCAAGGCCTGGCCTCGCGCAAAGCCCACCTCACCTGCCGCGCACTCCCACCATCCGGCGAGGGCACGAGGCGGGCGAGGGGATCTCGGCGCAAGGCCTGGCCTCGTGCAAAGCCCCCTCGCCCACCTCGCGCTTTTGCCATCCGACGAGGGCCCAAGGCAAGCAAGGGGATCTCAGTGCGAGGTCTGGCCTCATGCAAACTCTCCTCGCCCGCCCTGTACTTTCGCCATCCGGCGAGGTGTCCCCGGCGCGAGGCCTGGCCTCGCGCAAAGCCCCCTCACCCACCTCGTGCTTTCACCACCTTTGGGACCCCTGAGCGGGTCGCAAGGGGGGTGTTGGACGGTTCACCAAAGACCATCTGAAAACACAGTATTTTCTGTTGACCATGGGGCTTCTGTGTGGTAAGTTTGGCTCAATTCTATAAGAAGCAAAGACCTCCAGCATTGAAGCGATGGTCCTCTGCCATCAACTCAGTTGGACCGGCCACGTTGTCCGTATGCCTGACCACCGTCTCCCAAAGCAGTTGCTCTACTCTGAACTTAAGAATGGAAAACGGAATGCTGGTGGGCAGGAACAGAGATTTAAAGGTGGCCTCAAAGCCAACCTTAAAAACTCTGGCATAGACACTGAGAACTGGGAAGCCCTGGCCCTTGACCGCTCCAGCTGGAGGTCAGCTGTGACCAGCAGTGCTGCAGAATTCGAGGAGGCACGAGTGGAGGGTGAAAGAGAGAAACGTGCCAGGAGGAAGGCGCGTCAAGCCAACCCCGACCGGGACCGCCTTCCACCTGGAAACCAATGCCTTCAACTGTGGGAGAAGATGAGGGTCAAGAATAGGGCTCCACAGCCACCTACAAACCCACAAAAATAGTCATCAAGGAAGACCATCTTACTCGTCCAACGAGGGATCGCCTAAGTAAGTAAAGTAATCATTGGTGGGGTTCAGAATGCTCTTTGATTGCAGGTGAACTGTAAATCCCAGCAACTATAGCTCCCAAATGTCAAGGTCAATTTTCATCAAACTCCACCACTGTTCATGTTTGGCCATATTGAGCATTCATGCCCAGTTTGGTCTAGATTCATCATCGTTTGTGACCACAGTGCTCTCTGGGTGTAAGTGAATTAGAACTCCCAAACTCAAGGTCAATGCCCACCAAACCTGTCCAGTGTTTTCTGTTGGTCATTTGGCACATCGGGCATTTGTGCCAAATTTGGTTCAATGAATGATAATACAACCTGCATATCAGATATTGACATTACGTTTCATAACAGGAGCAACATTACAATTATGAAGTAGCAATGAAAATAATTTTATGGTTGGGGGTCACCACAACATAAGGAACTGTATTAAGGGATCGCAGCATTAGGAAGGTTGAGAACCACTGTACTATATCATTATACTGTAATATTATTAGTAATATTACATGTAATATAAAATATATAATTATAACATATATTATTATTGTTATTATTATTATGTTGTATTCCTGTATCTTGGGAAGTCTGTTTTGACAACAGTGGTCCACGCTCTTGTTACATCCCAAATAGATTACTGCAACACACTCTACGTGGGGCTGTCTTTGAAGACTGTTCGGAAACTTCAACTAGTCCAACGGGCTGGAGCCAGGTAGCACACCACTCCCTTGTTGCGTCAACCTCGCCGGCTGCCAATCCACTTCTGAACTCAATTCAAAGTGCTGGTTTTGACCCATAAAGTTCTATATGGTTCTGGCCTACCTTACTTTTCCAAACCCATTTCCCACTATGTCCTGCCTTGCAGTTTAAGACCATCTGGGGAGGCCCTGCTCTTGCTTCCACCAGCGTCGCAAATACGTCTGGCGGGAACGAGAGACAGGGCCTTCTTGGCGGTGGCCCCCCACCTGTGGAACCCGCTTCCCAACGAGGTAAGATCAGCTTCATCCCTCCTGTCTTTTAGGAAGAAATGGAAGTCGTGGTTCTCGGACCAGGCTTTTGGACAGCAGGCATAAATAGCGCTTTGGATATAGAATTTGACTGGAATGGTGATACGGAAGTTAATACTGTTTTTATTGTTTTAATTAATGTTCTATTTATTGTTTTAATTGTTGTTATATTGCTTTGTTGTATTTAATGGCATCAAATTGTGCCAAATGTAAGCCATCCTGAGTCGCCCTTCGGGGGTTGTGAAGGACGGGGTAGAAATGCTGGAAATAAATAAATATATTATATTATATCATTAGCATAGCACAAGAGATAAGGTGGAACTGTCCCTTGGATCCCTCTCTCTTCACTCTGGCCCAGAGCAGCAGTTAGCAGATATCAACTTCTGATGGATGAGGTATGTGTAAACGGTCTCAGTCTTCTGGGTAAATAACTGAAGCCACCATACTCCTAAAGGGCCACAGTCAGGGGCAGGAGGCCACCTTAACAAGCAGCCAGATGTTGGCATCTGGAACCCTTTCCTCCCTGACTTCAATTAACATCAATGGGAAATACACCAAGCAAATAAGATGCAGTTGGTGCCGACGGCAGCTATTATGAAAAGATACCACCCGTCTGGAAGCACAGCAAGTAAACACATACATACAGGCCATCCCCAAGTTACAAACAAGATTGGATCTGTAGGTTTGTTCTTAAGCTGAATTTGTATGTAAACTGGAGTAGGTACATTTTTAAGCGTAACTCCAGCCATATACATACACACACACACACACACACATATTATTATTATTATTATTATTATTATTATTATTATTATTATTATTATTATTATTATTATATTTGTATACCGCCCTTCTCAGCCCTTAGGCAACTCAGGGTGGTTTACAATGGCAATGTTTCAATGCCCCAAAACACCATAAAACATTCAAAAACATTAACGCATAATATAAATCCATAACAAGAATACTAAAAGCATACATCGTTTGCGTCTCCTAATAAAAACAATGTATTTTTAAGCTTTGGAAAGCATAGGGAAGGATTGGTGCCCCTGTAAGGTTTGTTTTGCTGTTTGTGCTGCTGTTCAGAACTTTTAATCAAGGGTTTGGAGAACAAGCCCTATGAGGAGCAGTTTCAAGAGCTGGGCATGTTTAGCCTGAAGAAGAAAAGGTGGAGAGGAGACATGCTCCCCATGCTCTATTCTGCTTTGGTTACACCACACCTGGAATACTGTATCCAGTTCTGGGCAACACAATTGAAGGGAGATGTTGACAAGCTGGAATGTGTCCAGAAGAAGGCGACTAAAATGATCCAGGGTCTGGAGAAAAAGCCCTATGAGGAGTGGCTTAAAGAGCTGGGCATGTTTAGCCAGAAGAATAATATAGAGAATAATAATAATAATAATAATAATAATAATAATAGAAGGCTGAGAGGAGACATGATAGCCATGTATAAGTATGTGAGAAGAAGTCATAGGGATGAGAGAGCAAGCTTGTTTTCTGCTGCCCTGGAGACTAGGGCTTCAATCTACAAGAAAGGAGGTTCCACCTGAACATGAGGAAGAACTTCCTGACTGTGAGAGCCATTCAGCAGTGGAAATCTCTGCCCCAGAGTGTGGTTGAGGCTCCTTCTTTGGAGGCTTTGAAACAGAGGCTGGATGGACGACAGTGGTTTTCTTCAGCGGCTTTTCACTCCTCAACCTCTTAACCTGAACCACTCAGTATTGAAGGATAATAGAAGCAGCCATTCAAACTTATCTAGAAAGCCCTCCCCAAATGTATCATGGCCCTACCTGATGGTAAAAGTCATCATCATCAAAGATCTCCTCATCCAGGTCCTTGAGGTGTGCATTTGACACAGTCGATGGAACAGCCTCCTGAAAATGGTCAGAGTAAAAAAAAAGTGTATTTGTAAGGATCTAATGGGGTACAACATTCGCTCGAAGGCTCTCTCTCAGGGCCTTTGAGAATTGCAGGTCTATTCAGACAACAGACATGAAGAGTTTCATTGATTCATTATGATATTGTACTTCTCCCAAAATATGATTCGGCCTTATTACATTACAGTAGGGTCCTCACGGAGCCCTTTTTGGAATCAATTTCTATGGCAGAGCCCCTTAGGTCTTCCCTATGTCTTATAAGCTAATGGTGTTTAGGAGTAAAGCAGGGATAGATAGTAAAGGAGTGTAAAGTAAAGAGATATCTAAACAACTGCGTATGAAATTGCAATGAAATTGTATTTTTAAAACTTTGAAACATATCATAATATCTCTATTTTTCATTTATTTTTAAATTTCTCTTTGATTGTAGGAGAACTATAAATCCCAGCAACTACAATTCCCAAATGTCAAGGTTTATTCTCCCCAAAATCCAGTATTTGGCATATTGAATATTCATGCCAAGTTTGGTCTAGATCCATCGTCGTTTGTGACCACAGTGCTCTCTGGGTGTAGGTGAACTACAACTCCAAAACTCAAGGTCAATGCCCACCAAACCAGCCCAGTATTTTCTGTTGGTCACGGGAGTTCTATGTGCCAAGTTTGCTTCAAGTTCATCGTTGGGGGAGTTCAGAATTCTCTTTGATTGTAAGTGAACTATAAATCCCAGCAACTACAACTCCCAAATGTCAAGGTCTTTTTTCCCCAAACTCCACCAGTGTTTACATTTGGGCATATTGAGTATCCATGCCAAGTTTGGTCCAGATTCATCATTGTTTGAGTCCGCAGTGCTCTCTGGATGTAGGTGAACTACCACTCTAAAACTCAAGGTCAATGCCTGCCAAATCCTTCCAGTGTTTTCTGTTGGGCATGGGAGTTCTGTGTGCCAAGTTTGTTTCAATTTCATCGTCTGTAGAGTTCTGAATGCTTTTTGATTGAGGGTGAACTATAAATCCCAGCAACTACAACTCCCAAATGTCAAGATCTATTTTCCCAAAACTTCACCAGTATTCACATTTGAGCATATTGGGTATTTGTGCCAAGTTTGGTCCAGATCCATCATTTTTTGTGTCCACAGTGCTCTCTGGATGTAGGTGAACTACAACTCCAAAACGCAGGTCAATGCCCACCAAACTCCTTCAGTATGAGGGTTGAATGAAAAGTAATGCTTCCACCTTCGTAACTTCTCAACAGATGGCAGTATTGGTATGTGGCAGGGTGAACTACAACTCCTAAACTCAAGATCAATGGCCACCAAACCCTTCCAGTATTTTCTGTTGATCATGGGACTTCTGTGTGCCAAGTTTGGTTCAATTTCATTCTTGGTGGAGTTCACAATGCTCTTTGATTGTAGGTAATTTATAAATCCCAGCAACTACAACTCCCAAATGACAAAATCAATCGCCTCCCAACCCCACCAGTATTCAAATTTGGGTGTATCGGGTATTTGTGCCAAATGAGTGAAAATGCATCCTGCATACTAAGATATTTACATGATAATTCATAACAGTTGTGAAGTAGCAACGAAAATAATGTGATGGTTGGGGGTCACCACAACATAAGGAACTGTATTAAGGGGTCATAGCATTAGGAAGGTTGAGAACCACTGCGAGACTCCTTCTTGATCATCCTGCTTCTAGCAATCTTCTTCAAGACAACCTGCTGTCCCCATACAAGTGCTACACCAATGGTTCTCAATCTTTCTAATGCCGTGACCCGTAAATAAAGTTCCTCATGTTGTGATGACCCACAACCATATTTTATTTGCTACTTCATAAATAATTTTGCTACTCTTATGAATTATAATGCAAATATCTAATACGCAGGATGTATTTTCATTGCTACAAATTGAACATAGTTAAAGCATAGTGATTAATCACAAAAACAATACGTTTGGGAAGTATGGACAACGGATGATAGGATCTGCAGTACCTTCAACCAATTCCGCTCTGACTTCCACAGACCACTGAGATCCGCCATGAATTACAGACCTGGACCAAACTTGGCACATAGAACTCCCATGACCAACAGAAAATACTGAAGGAGTCTGGGAGGAATTCACAGTGATTAATGGGAGATGTAGTTTACCTACATCCAGAAAGCACCGTGAACCCAAATGACTATGGATCTGGACCAAACTTGGCATGAATACTCAATATGCCCAAATTTGAACAATGGTGGAGTTTGGGGGAAATTGATCTTGACATTTGCGAGTTGTAGTTACTGGGATTTATAGTTCACCTACACTCAAAGAGCATTCTGAACTCGAACAAAAATGAAGTTGAAGAAGCTTGGCATATAGAACTCCCATAACCAACAGAAATTACTGGAGAGTTTTTGGGTTATTTTCCTGACATTTGGGAGATGCTGGGATATATAGTTCCCTCCCATCCAAAAGCATTCTGAACTCATGCAACCATGGAATGGACTCAAACTTGGCATACAGAACTCCCATAACCAACAGAAATTACGGGAGAGTTTTTGGGTTATTTTCTTGACCTTTGGGAATTGCTGGGATATATAGTTCCCTCCCATCCAAAAGCATTCTGAACTCATGCAACCATGGAATKGATTCAAACTTGGCATAGGAAACTCCCATGGTCAACAGAAAACACTGGAGAAGCTTGGGGAACATATACCTTGGCATTTTGGAGCTGCTGTGATATATAGTTCTTGGCACAGARAACTCCCTCCGCCCGTCTCTCACCACRTTCTGAGCTCAGAAAGAGGGATATATAGTTCCCTCCCATCCAAAAGCATTCTGAACTCATGCAACCATGGAATTGACTCAAACTTGGCATACAGAACTCCCATAACCAACAGAAATTACTGGAGGGTTTTTGGGTTATTTTCCTGACATTTGGGAGTTGCTGGGATATATAGTTCCCTCCCATCCAAAAGCATTCTGAACTCATGCAACCATGGAATGGACTCAAACTTGGCACAGAGAACTTCCATGGTCAACAGAAAATACTGGAGAGGCTTGGGAACATATACCTTGGCATTTTGGAGCTGCTGTGATATATAGTTTTTGGCACAGGGAACTCCCTCCGCCCGTCTCTCACCCCGTTCTGAGCTCGGAAAGAGGCAAAGGCCAGGTAGTGAAGGCTCCACAGATGGCCAGGCATTGAGGACGGCATGAAGTTTACTCACCTTGCAGGCCTGAATAGAGTGAATCTTCTTCCCCGGGGCCTTTGCCTCCAAAGCTCCTCCTCCTCCTGGAGGAACCTGCCATGAGTGCCATTTGGCTGGCTCAGGGGGTTGGCAGCCATTTTGGAGGGGGGGCAGCCAAGGCAGCTTCAAGACCCCCCAAAATGACCAAACAACCCCTCCAAGGGTCGCGACCCCCAGGCTGAGAACCGCTGTACTTGACTCAGGTTGGTTCACCCCTTACCTTTTGTCCTGGCAAGGCTTCCAGAAGGGGCTCGGGTGCTTGTTGTGGCTTCCCCAAAACCCTGTACGCCGACCGCTTGGTATGTGTCCGCCGGAGTAATCTCTCTTTGTCCATCAGAATATGATCAATCTGAGTCAAGACTGAACGCTCAAAGGCACTGAAACCCTGCAAGAACATTAAGCAGTGTCAGATAAGGCGGGAAAAGCCGCTGCTCACGGCTCTAACGGCTCCCCTCCCTTCTATCTTTCTGTGTTACTGGATAAGCAGAAAGCGTTTCCAACACGAGAGGCTTTAGTCGGGGATTTCATTCGGATTTCTGTGCAGAGAAGGTTTTATTTATATTATATTATATATAAATACTGTCCCCGAGGCAGGCAGAAAGAAGAAAGGTTCACATAATAGACTTGTTTCGCGGCATGGCTGCCACAAGCGTACAGAATGACACCTTGTGAACAATTGATATTTGATGTCAAGCCTGTCTTTGCAGAGCTGCGTTCGCCAAGAAGAAGGGGAAAGAAACAAAGGCTCAAAGGGTTATGATGGCAAAGGAACCCCAAAGCGTGATCTGTTCAGCGGTAGAGCAAGACCCCAGACAGGCAGGCGGAGGTTCAGTTCTCCAGCCCCTCCAGGTAACCACAGACAGACAATCGAGAGACAATTATCAGAATACACAATACAGTGTTCCCTCGCTACTTCACGTTTCGCGGACGTGCTTTTTCACGGGTTTTTGCCTCCCGTGAATGCTTGCTGTTCAAAAAGCAGTTCAATACACAGTAACGTGACTTAGTAATTATTATATTATGCATGCCCAGTGTGGAACACATCTCACAACACTAAAACAGTGGATGTGGTTCTTAATGAGACATGCCACATTATCACAGGGTGTCTGCGCCCTACACCACTGGAGAAATTACACTGCTTAGCCAGTATTGCACCACCTGACATCCGCCGGGAAGTAGCAGCCAATAGTGAAAGGACCACGGCAGAGACATCTCCAGCTCATCCCTTGTTTGGGTATCAGCCAGCACGTCAACGACTTAAATCAAGAAATAGTTTTCTTAGATCTACAGAGACACTCGCTGGAACACCTCAGCAAGCGAGAGTTCAAAAGTGGCAGGCTCAAACCCAGCACCTCAATCTGTGGGTGATACCAGATGAGAGACTCCCCCTGGGCACACAGAAGACTGGGCGACTTGGAAGGCGCTGAACAGACTGCGCTCTGGCACAACGAGATGCAGAGCCAATCTTAAGAAATGGGGCTACAAAGTGGAATCCACGACATGCGAGTGTGGAGAAGAGCAAACCACTGACCACCTGCTGCAATGCAACCTGAGCCCTGCCACATGCACAATGGAGGACCTTCTTGCGGCAACACCAGAGGCACTCCAAGTGGCCAGATACTGGTCAAAGGACATTTAATCAGCTACCAAGTTTGCAAAATTTGTGTTTTTTTATCTGCTTGTTTTGTTTTGTTAGAAATGTAATACAATGTTCTGGTTGCGGATGACACGATAAATAAATAAATTACTATATTTACGAATTTAGCACCCACCCTAGACATTATTCCAGGCGGGAGGCAGATTGCGCTGCATAATACAGAACGTTGGATGAGCGAAGGTTGGATAAGCCAGACTCTACTGTAATAATAAATAGAGTAGAATAAGAAATGTAATAATAATAATAATAATAATAATAATAATAATAATAATAACAACAACAACAGAGAATAATAATAAATACAGTGTTCCCTCACTACTTCACGGTTCGCTTTTCGCGGACTCGCTGCTTCACAGGGTTTTGCCTCCCAGTTTATGAATGGTTGCCATTGCCCAGAGTGGACTTCTAATCCCACCTCCTGGCAACCATGTGTGGAAGTTCACCCTCCCCATCGGGAGAAAGGCAGCCAATCAAGAGAGATTGCAAAGCAAAGCAGAGATACAGGTGCAGGTACAGGTTTCTCCCTGACATTAAGTACAGTCATGTCCGACTCTCAGGGTTGATGCTCATCTCCATTTCTAAGCCGAAGAGCTGGCATTGTCCAGACGCCTCCAAGGTCATGTGGCCAGCATATCTGCATGGATCGCTGTTACCTTCCCGCCGGAGCGGTACCTATTGATCTACTCACATTTGTATGCTTTCGAACTGCTAGGTTGGCAGAAGCTGGGACTGACAGCAACAGCTCACCCCACTCCCTAGATTCGAACCTGCAACCTTTCGGTCAACAAGTTCAGCAGCGCAGCGGTTTAACCCACTGCACCGTCAGAGATAGCTAGCAAAAAAAAAAAAGTGTGTGATGCCTTTAAATCTCTCCTCACTTCTGCCTAATCCTCGGAACATGATATAATGCATCTCTCCCTATGAACCATCGCAGAGATTAAATTCCTCCGGGGAGGCCCTGCTTTCCGTCCCGCCATTGTCACAGGCACGATTGGTGGGGAAGAGAGACAGGGCCTTTTCGGTGATTGCTCTCCAGCTATGGAACTCCCTTCCTGGTGAGATCAGGTTGGCCCCCTCTAGCACTAGACTCCTTGATGCTGGCCAAAATCCATCGGCTTTTTTTTGCTGCCGCATCACATTGTTGGCTCATGTTCACCTTCCTGTCCACGAGGACCCCAAGATCTTTTTCACACGTACTGCTCTCAAGCCACGCGTCCCCCATTCTGCCTCTTTGAATTTCAAATTTTCTGTCTAAGTGGCGTATCTTGCATTTGCCCCTCTTGAACTTCATTTTGTTAGTTTTGGCCAATCATCTCTCTAATCTGTTAAGATCGTTTTGAATTGCGCTCCTGTCTTCTGGAGTATTGGCGATCCCCCCATAAACTTCTACTACAATACAGGAAATGAACAGCTCTTGCCTTGCCCAGTTTGCCAGAAGCCAACTTGGTCTTATCATGCCACTTTTGCAAGGTGCTGTTCCGGTAGGTCTGGAAGTCAGCAAATCGCTTGGCCGCAAACTCTGGGTATGCTTCCATTTCGAGCTTCCGCTTCGGCGGCCTTTGCATCACCCTCTTTTTCGTCTCGCCTTCCTCCTCTTCTTCGGCATCTTCGTCAGGGCTGCTTGGAATCTCGTCATCACTAAATGAAAATAAAAATGATGCAACTCTTTAATGTTCTCCCATACATCTGTTCCGACTTCTCTCCCTTAACACAAACCTGGCCAGCCAATGGGGCCGATCAACACAACTCCACAGGGCGCCAGGTAACAAATACAGTGTGATCAATCGTAACCAATACAACCAGTAGTTTGTGGATTTCAGAAGATTAAGTTAAAAAGGTATTGCTTTCTAGTGAAGAAATTACCTCACAAACAAAGTTGGAAGGCTTTAATTCAAAAGCATGCATTAGGGAATGCAACAAAATTCCAACTGACAGTTTATTTCCCGCATGCCTCACCCTGGCCCCTCCCCTGCATTGCTCCCATTTCCATGGCAACCCCCTCCCAAATTTCAAATATACAACAGGACAGGTCTAAGGCATGGCCTAATTTCCTGGCTTCATACAAAACCAGGAAATAAGGTCATGACAGGTATGGTATTTAAAACAAACTAGCTGTCCCCTGCCACGCGTTGCTGTGGCCCAGTCTGTTGATCTGGAAAATAAAGTAATGAGAAAGTGTTGGTTTCTAATATATATAATTTCTTTCTGCTTGTGGGTAAACAGTATTCCTTGCTGTTTCTTCATCAGTGTTGATGTGGAGAGTGTCTGGTTTGCTTACTCTGGAACATGTGACATACAATTGTCCTTCTTTAGCGGTCCCTTTCAAATCTATGATACCATATCTGTGTGTGTGAATCACATATCTATCTATATCTAAGGCTGGATGGCTCTTTGTCAGGAGGGCTTTGATTATGTTTTCTTGCCCTGGTGAAGGGAGTTGGGATGGCCTTAAGTATTTTCTATTGGTCATGGGGGTTCTGTATGGGAAGTTTGCCCCAATTCTGTCGTTGGTGGGGTTCAGAATGCTCTTTGATTGTAGGTGAACTATGAATCCCAGTGACTACAACTCCCAAATGTCAAGGTCTATTTTCCCCAAACTCCATCTGTGTTCATATTTGGGCATATGGAATATGTGTGTCAAGTTTGGTCCAGATCCATCATTGTTTGAGTCCACAGTGCTCTCTGGATGTAGGTGAACTACAACTCCAAAACTCAAGATCAATGCCCACCAAACCCTTCCAGGATTTTCTGTTGGTCATGGGAGTTCTGTGTGCCAAGTTTGGTTCAATTCCATCGTTGGTGGAGTTCAGAATGCTCTTTGATTGTAGGTAAACTATAAATCCCAGCAACTACAACTCCCAAATGACAAAATCATAATTTTTTGAGTGATGGTCACTCCTTGTGTTGTGAGATGTTTTGTTGCCAAATTTGGTGTGATTTCGTTCATTGGTTCTTTTGTTTTTAAGGTACTCATTATGAACAGAGCATTTTTATATATATAGATGTGACAATGACAATCCTCAAAGGCTCTTGAGCACACAGTGGCTCTGTATTTACCTCTCTTTTTTCGCCTGCTGTCCATTCACTAGATGTCTTGTCCCCGAATACTGATGCAACAGCTCATCCTGGAGATCTACCAGACTTCTCAACAAAGCCTTTAAGGCTTTGTAATCTGCACAGCAAAAGCAAAAAGAAATATGTGGTTACAGTTCCATCACTATCCATTAAATTACTTATTTACCGGCATGTTTCAGGGTGTCTTTCTGAACATAAGGCCTTCTATAGTCAAAGCAAGTATTTTCTCACTGGTCTAGAGCTCCTCACATAATAATAATAATAATAATAATAATAATAATAATAATAATAATAATAATAATTTATTTATATTCCACCCCCGGTGGAGCAGTGGGGTAAACCGCTGAGCTGCCGAACTTGCTAACGGAAAGGTTGCAGGTTAGAATCCGGAGAGCGGTGTGTGAGCTGCCGCTGTTAGCCCCAGCTTCTGCCAACCTAGCAGTTCGAAAACATGCAAATGTGAATAATAATAATAATAATAATAATAATAATAATAGTAACACTTTATTTGTACCCCGCTACCATCTCCCCAGGGGACTCGGTGCGGCTTACATGAGGCCAAGCCCAAATACAACAATACAAGCAATAAAACAACACAAGTAATTAAAATAAAAAATAAAAATAAGTAGATCAATAGGTATTGCTCTGGCGGGAAGGTAACAGCGGTCCATGCAGTCATGCTGGCCACATGACCTTGGAGGCGTCTGTGGACAATGCCAGCTCTTCGGCTTAGAAATGGAGATGAGCATCAACCCCCGATTCGGACATGACTGGACTTAATGTCAAGGAAAAATCTTTACCTTAACCTTCTATCTCCCCAAGGGGACTCAAAGTAGATTACAACATACACAGATAGACAAACATTCAATGCCTTTAATACAGTGGAATGAGAATGACACACAAATACACAGAACAAAGGTAAAGCTTCCCCTTTCATCTCCGGCTTCTGGAGGCGGTGCTCAACTCTGGCCATGGTGAGGTGCTCTCGTTCCTTTTCCAAGCCGAGGAGCCTGTTGTCCATAGACACCTCCTGGTCTGCTAGCATGGCTGCATGAGCATCTTTACTACCTTCCCGCCGAAGCCGTACCTACTGATCTACTCACATTTGCATGTTATCGAACTGCTAGGTTGGCAGGAGCTAGGGCTTACAATGGGAGCTTACCTTAACCCGTGGCTTCGTACTGCCAACCTTCCAGTCAGCGGATTCAACAGTTCAATTGTGCCACTGCGGCCCCTCTTCTTAATTTAAGGGGGAAAGCACTAGCTATCCAAACAGCAACAGGATGTTGCAAGGGTCACACATACAAACAGGCTTGCAATTTTGTATGCGGAGTTTGTATTGCGAAAAGCAGCAAGGCTGATATGTGTCTAGTGCGCCTCTCTACCGCGGCCTTTAGCCGATCATCTCTGTTTCCAAAAGGGCAAGGCCGTCTGTGGTTGCAAATGGGGCGACGCATTATGGAGAGGAGTACAAAAGGAGCAATCCTTTGTGCGACACACGGGCAGGAAGACTTTTGCAAAAGAGAAAAGAACAAAGCAGCGAAGAAGAGGATGGGATTGTTTTCGCCATCCAGACCATTTACACATTTATTCATGAACTAGCTTGGGGATCCGGCGGTGCCCGGGTTATTTGAAAAGGGCATTGTTCGTTTTGGGGTGTTAGGTAATAACATTTAGTTAATTAGTAACAGCCAGAATCTGATTTCGTTTGTTATGCACCCTCCCATTACAATGTGGGTGAACTACAATTCCAAGAATCGTGGGTGAATCTCCCCAAACCAGGCCTTTATGCACAGTTGGCCATGTTGGGTCTGTGTGCCAAGTTTGGTACAGATCTGTCATTGACTGGGTTCAGTGCTCTCTGGATATGGGTGAACTACAACTCCCAGATTTCCAAGGTAATCACCTCCAAACCCAGTCAGTATTACAATTGGCCATGTTGGGTCTGTGTGCCAATTTTGGTCCAGATCTGTCGTCGACTGGGTTCAGTGCTCTTTGGATATGGTGAACTACAACTCCCAGATTCCCAAGGTAATCATCTCCAAACCCAGCCAGTATTAACAGTTGGCCATGTTGGGTCTGTGTGCCAAGTGTGGTTCAGATTCTATCGTCAAATGGGTTGAGTGCTCTCGGGATGTAGGTGAACTATATCTCAAACAACACCAGGACGTAAAGTGGGTCATGTGCCAAGTTTGGTCTGGGTTTGTGATTTGTGGGGACCGCAGTGTTCCGTGGAAAGTGAGTCGGTGAAGGTACTGCAAATCCCATCGTCCGTGGTTCATCCTCCCCCAAACTTCACCAGGGAGTGAGGGGGTTCATGGGGGTTATGTGTGTCAAGTTTGGTCCAGGTCCGTCATTCATGCTGGTCCCAATGGTCTCACAAAGTGAGTAAAGGTACTGTAAGTCCCATCATGCGCGGCCTGTCCTCCCCCGAATCACACCAGGATGTCAAGTGGGTAATGGGGGTTCTGTGTGCCAAATTTGGCACAGTTCCATCATTGGTGGGCATTGCTGTGGTCTGTGGAAGTTGAAGAGATTGAAAGTACTGCAAATCCCATCATCCATGGCTCTTCTTCCCTCAAACCGCACCAGGACGTAAAGTGGGTCATGAGGGTTATGTGTGCCAAGTGTGGTCCAGATCTATCATTTGTGTGGGTAGCAGTGGCCTGTGAAAGTGAAAGCCAATCAGAAAGCTGCCACATACCTACACCTCCACACACATACATACATACATAGAAACATACATACAAACACTGACTTTAATTATATACAAGCTTGGGGACACGGTGCTGCCTGGGTGATTTGAGAAAGGCATTGTTTGTCTGTTCTCCAAGTATAGTCTAGATCCAATGTCAGCTGGGTTAGGTGGGTATGGGTGAACTATAACTCCAATAAGCAAGTCCCATCATTCATGGTCAATTCTCCTCCAAACCACAATAGGATGTAGAGTGGGTTATGGGGTCTCTGTATGCCAAGTTTGGTGTTGATCAGGCATTGGATGAGGGTTGCAGTGGTCTGGGGAAGTAAGTGAAGGTACTGCAAGTCCCATCGTCCATGGTCCATTGGCCCGCAAACCAGACCAGGATGTAGAGTGGGTCATGGGGCCTCTGTATGCCAAGTTCGATCTTGATTAGTCAATGGTGTGGGTCGCAATGGTCTCAGGAATGACAATAATAACAATAATACACTTTATTTATAACCCGCCACCATCTCCCCAAAGAGGATTCAGGGCGGCTAAGATGAGGCCATGCCCAAAATAATACAACATAAAAAACACACAATAAAAATACAGGAAGTGAATGAAGGTACTGCAAGTCCCATCATCCATGGTCTATCCTCCTTCACAATGTACCAGGATGTAGAGTGGGTCATGGGTGCTCTGTGTGTCAAGTTTGGTCTTTAGTGGTCATTGGATGAGGGTCACAATGCTCTCAGGATGGGAGTGAAGGTACTGCAAGTCCCATCATCCATGGTCTACCCTCCTTCAAACTGTACCAGGATGTAGAGTGGGTCATGGGGGCTTTGTGTGTCAAGTTTGGTCTTTAGCGGTAATTAGATGAGGGTCACAATGCTCTCAGGATGGGAATGAAGGTACTGCAAGTCCCATCATCCATGGTCTACCCTCCTTCAAACTGTACCAGGATGTAGAGTGGGTCATGGGTGCTCTGTGTGTCAAGTTTGGTCTTTAGTGATCATTGGATGAGGGTCACAATGCTCTCAGGGTGTGAGTGAAGGTACTGCAAGTCCCATCATCCATGGTCTATCCTCCTTCAAACTGTACCAGGAGGTAGAGTGGGTCATGGGTGCTCTGTGTGTCAAGTTTGGTCTTTAGCGGTCATTAGATGAGGGTCACAATGCTCTCAGGATGTGAGTGAAGGTACTGCAAGTCCCATCATCCATGGTCTATCCTCCTTCAAACTGTACCAGGATGTAGAGTGGGTCATGGGGGCTTTGTGTGTCAAGTTTGGTCTTTAGCGGTCATTGGATGAGGATCACAATGCTCTCAGGTTGTGAGTGAAGGTACTGCAAGTCCCATCATCCATAGTCCGTCCTCCCCCAAACTGCACCAGGATGTAGAGTGTGTCAAGTTTGGTCCAGGTCCGTCACCCGTGCTGGTCGCAGTGGCCTGTGAAAGTGGCAGCCAATCAGAATGCTGCGACATACACCACCCTCCGCATACATACATACAAACATTCACTTAATATAGATATAGATGAGCTTTCATGGCTATAAGCCAATTTGGTCAGATATAGTACGGAGTGGGATTAAGGCTCATCATCCTTGTCCAGGTTGATGGGCAGAGCAGGGAATTGTAGGGTTGCAAAAATTTGGACAGAGGCCCTTCTGGTTTGCAGCAAGAAGCGCAGAGACCCATTAACCCGTAAAGAGCCCACCGAAGCATTTGATTGGCCCGAGTAATAAGAGGCTTCCTGTTACAAAGATTTATTTCTTGCTTTTCAAAAAGTTCCACAACAAAACTTATTAAAAAGCCAAACCAACTGCATTCAAAACGCAAGAGCGGGCCAACAAAAGGAATTAAATGGCAGCACAAGAAGATGAAGGAAGCATCAGGTAGCAATAGTCATAATTAAAAGCAGCTGCTGAAGCATGAAAGGCGTCTGCAGATGAAGCAGCAAACAATGCCAGAGACGATCGCCTCGGCATCTGAAAATCACATCAGTGTTATCTTGCGCTCAGAGGTAGATTGGAGCATGTTGTTTGGGAGAGGAAGGAAGCGAAGTCTCAGAACCGACTCAAAATTGGGGAAATGTAGAAATCCCACCTTAAGCTTAGTAATGAACTTTCTCGGGAGAGCATTCTATAAACAGGATGCCACCACTGAAAAGGCCATTCTATGAGGGTTGAATGAAAAGTAATGCCTCCACCTTTGTAACTCCTCAACAGATGGCAGTACTGGTATGCGGCAGGTACTGGCTTGTTCAGTAGACTCTCCTCTACAGTTCCATTTTGGCAGGAAGCCTTCGCATTAAACGGTTGTGTTCTTAAAATGCTAAGTATGGAACCCTGCGCAGATGGTCAGTCAATGCGACTTAAGCATTCATAGAATCAAAGAGTTGGAAGAGACCTCATGGGCCA